TCGCCAGAGCCCAGCAGGCGAGGCTGCGGTGACCGGGAGCGGCCACTGCACTCCAGTCTGAGTGAGAGTGAGACTCCAACTCAAAAAAAAAAAAAACAGTGGGAAGAAGAGAGGATGGACACAGGGTAGGCAACTAACACACAGGACCTGCCATAACATGGTGGTGCAAACTGTCACTGGACAGAGAGATCACGTGTGCTGCCACACGCAGGGAGTAAGGCTCTGCATGTTTCCCAGGAGCCTGGACAGTGTGTCTGCCCAGTCGAGTGTGGAAGTGACCAGGGTGACAGTGGGGCAGGAGGAACACTCTATAGCCTCGCACTTAAGGGCACAGACCTTGGATCCCAATTCTTATCTAGATTCAAACCCTGGCTTTGCCATTTTCTAGCTTTGGTAAGTAATGTCACTTGTGGCAAGTGATTTCAGTTGCTCCATCTGTAAAATGGGGAATACCACAGTACTTAACTTGAAGGGTTCAAAGAAGCAAATGGGTTAAATATTAAAGATCTCAGAAGAGCGCTTTGCACAGCATATAAGAGCTATGTGAATGTTAGTTTTAAAAAAAAATCTTGCTGGGTGCAGTGGCTCACGCTTGTAATCCCAGCACTTTGGGAGGCTGAGGTGAGAGGAATGCCTGGATTCAGAGGTTCAAGACTAGCCTGGGCAACATGGCAAGACCTCATCTCTGCAATAAATCAAAAATTTAGCTGGGTGTGGTGGCACATGCCTGTAGTTTCAGCTACTTGGAAGGCTGAGACAGAAGGATTGCCTGAACCCAGCAGGTGGAGGCTGTGGTGGCCATGAGTGTGACTATGACCAAAAAAAAAGTGAGACTGAGCCGGGCTCCGTGGCTCAGCCTGTAATCCTGCGCCTTTGGGAGGCTGAGGTGAGTGAATTGCCTGAGCCCGCGGGTTCGAGACCCGCCTGGGCAGCGAGACCTCATCTCTACAATAAATCAAAAAATCAGCTGGGCGTGGTGGCGCATCCTGTAATTCCAGCTACTTGGAAGGCTGAGGCGGAAGGATCGCCGGAGCCCAGCAGGTCGAGGCTGCGGTGGCCGGGAGCGGCCACTGCACTCCAGTCTGGATGACAGAGTGAGACTCCAACTCAAAAAAAAAAAAAAAAAAGTGAGACTATGACCAAAAAAAAAAAAAATCTTAGGGCATACTTGTTTACAAGGACAGAAACTATGCTTGGCTCATGGAACCAAAGAATCCAGGAGTAGTGTTGGTTTCAGGCAAGGCTGGAACAAGGGGCTTAACAGTGTCACCACAGATTATGTCTCTCCATATCTTGGGTCCGCCTTGTTTCATGCTGACTTCCTTCTCTTGTTCCAGTTATTGGAGCCGAGTACAAATCAACCCAAAACATGGAGACGATAAAATAACATTTATTCTGTTCATGAGTCTACACTTTGGACAGGGCTTAGTTGCGTCAGCCATGTCTGCTCTGCTCAGTTTCACCTGGTAAGGGTCAGTGGCTGAGGCTGGACTCATCGGAATGCTCATACCCACTCACATGTCGGGTCACTGGGCTGGAAGCCCTGGGGCTCCCCAGGCACCTGGGTCCCTCTCTGTGGGCTCCTTTGGGTGTCTCTCCAGTGTGGTGGTTTCACAAAGGCCAGGCTTCTTCACTGGAAGCAAGAACACAGGGAGGAGGAGGCAGAGGACTCTCAGTAAAGGCCTGAAGGTGAGGATCAGCTCTATGTGGAGGAATAATAAGTAAAGTAATAAAATAACAAATAATAGTAAGTGCATCCATACATCATACAGTTAATAAATCATGATAGCCGGGCTTGGTGGCTCAGCTTGTAATCCCACGCCTTGAGAGGCTGAAGTGAGTGGATTGCCTGAGCCCGCGAGTTCAAGACCTGCCTGGGCAACTTGGTGAGACCTCATCTCTACAATAAATCAAAAAATTAGCCGAGTGTGGTAGCGTGTGCCTGTAGTTCCACCTACTTGGAATGCTGAAGTGGAAGGATCGC